AAGTGTTTTGCTTGTCACTTTTTGTAGTGCGCTAGCTAGCGGTATGGACTGGCGTGGTCTGGAGGAACTTGTTCGGTACGAGCAAAAGAAAGGTAATCCCGTAGCAAATTTAACTCACTAAGTTGACCTTGGGAGAATTCGAGTGGCTGTCTTGCTCTGTGATGCCGACGAGGAGGGCCAGGATGGACTTGGCGGTGATGATACCGGGGAGAAAGACAAGAAGGTTCACATCATCTGGATTGATTTGTCAATTTTGGCTCCTGCAAACGCTCGCGAAATCTACACAAAAAAGAAAAAGGCTGGAGAAAAGTTAAAGAAGGCAACTTAGGCTCCATCGCACTGGCGGATAAGACACCATAAAGACGATGGAGAAGCAGCAAACTAAACGCAACGAGATATATCAGCGACGCAAAACGCTCTGGTTTGAAAAATTTCACTGGCTCCTCATTAGTGAAAAGTATTTTTTGGTGGCAGGAAACGATGCACACCAGAATGAGCTGCTAGTGAAGCGATATTTACGCAAATGGGACGTCTATGTTCATGCTGATCTCCATGGTGCGGCTACTTGCATAGTCCGCAACCATGTCACAGCGAAAAAATAAGCAGACTTGAGACGTCTTACTTTCTGTGGCTACTTTGGAGCAGGCAGGTTGTATGAAACGCAATAGCGCTTGGTCAAATCAGGTCATTGCTGGTGCATACTGGGTACACGCAGACCAGGTCTCAAAGACAGCCCCTACGGGCGAGTACCTAACGACGGATAGAAAAATTTTATTCAGCCGTCAAGGCTTCCGGTCGGCCTGGCAATTCTTTTTCGTATTGATGAGAGCTGCGTCAACCATCGCTCTCGACAAGTCGAAGAAAGCGCGCTGCTTACGTCGGACGGTGTCGACGAAGAAGACAGGAAAAAGGGAGGCAAAGTTGTTTATTCTGCGAAGATATCTACAGAAGCGACGATGTTAATGACAGATAAGTGCACAGTAATTTTGCCACCATCTTTAAACGAAAAAGTAATTGATAACTTCGAGAAAAATGAAAGGCGTGATGAAGACGCAGCTTATAAGCAGCATACCGAACGCGAAGGAAAGAAACGATTGTCTGCAAAAGAGCGTCGTGACTTGAAGAAGGGCAAAACTCTCGATGACATAAAGGATAATTCTGTTAAACAAGAGAGAGGAGCAGAGAATTCCATTGCTATGACGGTGCAGATGAAAAATGTACGAGTTAAGAAAGGCAAGATGAAGAAAAATACGCTGATCAGGATGACGAAGATCGTTGCTTACGTATGGAAGCATTGGGTCACGTTGTTGAGTAAGAAGGCGATATCGAGGCAAGAAAGAAATCAGTAGCTGTTGATGAAAGTAATGACGATGCGGAGACGGAGGCGAGTGAGAATTATATTCGTCAGCAGCGCGAAAAGAATTTCTTGACGAGCTTGAAGCTGAAACAGAAATTTTTTTATGCCTTCACACGAGAACCAAGGCCGAAT